CACAGACAGAGTGGACACACGTCTCACAGACACATGTGTCACAGACAGAGTGGACAGACACGTCTCACAGACACGTCTCACAGACAGAGTGGACAGACACGTCTCACAGACACGTCTCACAGACAGAGTGGACAGACACTTCTCACAGACACACGTCTCACAGACACATGTCTCACAGACAGAGCGGACAGACACGTCTCACAGACACATGTCTCACAGACAGAGTGGACAGACACGTCTCTCAGACACATGTCTCACATGTCTCACAGACAGAGTGGACAGACACATGTCTCACAGACACATGTGTCACAGACACATGTCTCACAGACAGAGTGGACAGACACATGTCTCACAGACACATGTCTCACAGACAGAGTGGACAGACACGTCTCACAGACACATGTCTCACAGACACATGTCTCACAGACACAGTGTCTCTCGGGGGGACTGACCAGTGTGCAGAACCTCTCAGGTGGGTTCCCACAGGTGATCCCAGGCGGGTCGACTCTGATCTGCATCACTTCCTTCATATTGGTGGGCGGTGGCTGACAGGCGTAGAACTCCCATCCTGGCCCCGCCTCTGAGCCACGCAGAGACCGACACACATCAAACTGACCGACGTTCTGACACTGGGTTAATGGCGGCAGGAGGAAGAGGAGGAGGGGGAGGAGACGAGGGAGGAGAGGGGACATGGTAGACTGATGGTCAGACGGACAGGAAGTTCCTCTGGAGGTCACATCTCAAAGTCTCTGCCCACATTTTTAATCCACACGTTCAGTTCTGCTCCACCCTCTTCAAACAGGTGGTCGTCATGGATACCAACTGGTTAGCTCTCTGTCGTCATGGTTACCAGGTGATGTATTTCAGTCAGTCCTGTGGGAACAGTCCTAAAGATGCTCCGCCCACCGTCGTCTGCAACACAACAACACAAACAACTGTCAGATGAACCACAGCCGAGGGGTATTCCAGGTTCAACAAGCTCTGAGTCTAATCCTGAACTCTGACTTGACTTAAAAAGCAAGCACATATTGTCTTTTAGTACAGGTTTAAATTATAATGACCTAATACAATACCTAGGAGGCGAGTTGGCCTCTTGAAACGGACACCTAGAAGAAATATGCAATTTGCCAAAGCCAAACTTGCTCATTACACACTCACGAACGTTAGCTAACGTTAATACGCCTGCTGTAATGGCAATGTCAGCTCCAGCTCCATCTCCGTCTTTAGCAACACCAGCAGCCTCAGCCCGTCAACCGAGGCCGCAGCCCAACAGATCAGTTATTTTGGAGCACTTTGCTGCCTCTTCTTGTAAAGATTTAAGGTTTTTTATTCGAGTTTTTTCCACGCCACCCTTTCTTTTTTTACCGGCTTTATCCATGTTTCTGTCTAACGGTCAAACTAGCCTGGTCTGCCATGAGTAATGACTGATGGCTGCGGCTGAGCCAATCAGATTTCAAGAAAAATGAGAGCCTCTTTTGTATTGTAGGAGGAGGCCACTCTTATCTCCTCCTTCAAGCATCAAAACATAAGACGTTCTCTCTGAACATCTCACAGCAAACAAACAACAAGGGAGGGATGCGCACTGCAGCACTGACACCTAGCAGCTAGCATGACATTCACTAGTCTCACCGGGCCACTTGGTGACCGGCACATCAGGATTCATCCCGAACGTCCCGATGACCAATCCGCCATCATCAATATCATATAAAAAGCTCGGCTCGGCTGTACAGAGGAGACAGGGTGAACTCAGGGTTTCTTATAGAAAACCTGCCAGCGAGCAGGTTAGGTTCACAGAGTCAGTTGCCATGGTGATTGACTCAGAGTTTGACTTACCTCTCTGTCTGGAATTGAAAACCCAGAGTTTTGCTCACCTCAGGGTCAACGCACCCAGAGTTTCCCTCACCTGGGGGTCAACGCACCCAGAGTTTCCCTCACCTGTGGGTCAACGCACTCAGAGTTTCCCTCACCTCAGGGTCAACGCACCCAGAGTTTCCCTCACCTGGGAGTCAACGCACTCAGAGTTTCCCTCACCTCGGGGGTCAACGCACTCAGAGTTTCCCTCACCTCAGGGTCAACGCACTCAGAGTTTCCCTCACCTCGGGGGTCAACGCACTCAGAGTTTCCCTCACCTCGGGGTCAATGCACCCAGAGTTTCCCTCACCTGGGGGTCAACGCACTCAGAGTTTCTCTCACCTCGGGGTCAACGCAGTCAGAGTTTCCCTCACCTGGGGGTCAATGCAGTCAGAGTTTCCCTCACCTGGGGGTCAACGCACCCAGAGTTTCCCTCACCTCGAGGTCAACGCACCCAGAGTTTCCCTCAGC